CAATTCAGGATCGAAACCCGGGGCTGCGAAGGTCGCTGATGTCCGCTACGAGCCCTGCCCCTACCCCCGCCACTTCGCCGTCACCCGAACGAAGCCGAGCAACAGGAAGAAGAACACCCTCGCCGTCGAAGCCCGGAAACATCGCCGCGTCCCGCCGTCTAATCCGCGCCACCCAACGACTCGATCCAACCGGAAGAGAGAAGCGCGAGCGCTACCGGCGCGTCATCCCCCTGTTGGATAATCGCCGGCCACCACGCGTCCGTTCCTACAGAACCTCGACACTAGCACTGCTGCTGTATCGCCGATCAGCCCGACCACCCCTCTGAATGTCTTCGCACATCCAAAAGTCGTGCGTGGTGAGGACACAGGTTCATTTCCCCAGCTTCTTTCATTGTTTTCAGACGGCCGGCCGGATTTCTCGTTGCCTCGCCGACCCGGGGACACAAGTTTCTTTCGGTTTCCCTCTTTTCTTCTTCTCTTCTCCCACGTCTTTCCCTTTGTTTTCTTCTCTGTTGTAAGTGGCGTCGAAACGAAGCTCTGCTCTAGAAGACTACTACTCCAGTTCGTTGGATAAACAATGTTAATGATGTTCGCGGGAGTAATCGTGAAATTTCGTTAGTATCAAAGAAATTCATTGAACCTTTTAACACGTTGAGTGTGGCGCCGATTTTGCTATACTTTCCGCTCAGGCGGCAGCGCGCGAGCATTTGATGCCGAACGCTAAACTAGACCGCGCGACACAGCGCAACAGACGATTCCTTTTTTTCACTGTTTCTTTTGTCGTTTGCACTGTGACAATGGTGCAGACAATGCACATGTATACAATGTATAAACATAAGATAATGGGGTGGGGAATGCCAGAGAGACAAAAGTGCGAACATCAAGTAACGAACAGTCTGAAAAAGCCACGGGAGTACACTAAATTTTAACATAAATTTTTTAATTGTCATTAATAATTTAACCCTTTAAAATGCTGGTCTCATGCACCGATGTCGACCAAACGAGAAGTTCGCTATCAGTCCCTAGAATCCACGCCGCCCAAACGAAAAGTCTACTGTCAGTCCCCAGGGACTGACGCCGCTTGAACGGAAAGTTCACTGTCAGTCCCTAGGGACTGACGCAGCACTCAACGTGTTAACATCAACCTTTATAATTCTGCATCGAGCAAAAGCAAACGGTTAATTAATAGGAAATAGAAAGTTCAAGTTCTCCTGTATCCCAATATCTTTTAACCCTTTTCAACCTTCTCGCGCACCTCAACAAAGTCATGATTCGGTCGAAGCGTTATCTTGAAAATGAATTTTTAAATCTGTACAAAGAATCATGCCAGCCGTATACGACTCTCCCGCGGTTGCTATTGGATCGGATCTGAACATCGGTCTCGCGAGAACCGCGTCTCGACACGGGCAAGAAACGAGTTCTGTCCGTCGAACGTCTGGCCGGGATAACGACGTTTCTCCGATGACTCGTATCGACGTGCGAGAAGAATTAGACGCGCCGCCCGTCTGCCGTTTCCCTTCGATTCGGAGCGTTCGCGCTTCGACCGCGAAACTGGAAAAGCTTCCTGTTTCTCGAGGAAAACCGAAGGAACGGAAAGCAACCGACAGAAATGGAAAGAAACGAAAAGGAACGCAGAAACGTCGGAAAAAAGGAGGATTCGCGTAAACATTGAAATCGAAGCACGCCGCGGCGCCGCCGGAATCCGATTTAATATCGGAAGGGAATTGACAGAATTTTCGCGTAACGCTGACGCGCACCGCGCGCAGGGTCGCATTATTGAAACGTTGGAATTTATGAGTTAATATCGGAAATCCTTCACGCGCGACGTATCGAATTTCGGCCGCGGCACCGTGTCGGCGATCTTTCTCCTCCATTTTCTTCCCCCCTCTTTTTTTCTATTCGTTGTCCTGCGAAAGGGACGGAAAATCGGAAAACCGTAACTAGACGGCGAGAAGAGAGATCGAGCCGCGTCGTTTCAGTTCCTGAAGGCACGAGGACCATTTTTCCTGGAAAACGGCGCGTCGTTACGGAACGAAAACGCGACGGGGAAATCGAAACGCTCCGTCCGCGGAACGGGAAAACGGGAACGATCGTGAACATTATCGTTTTTCCGAGTTAATCGGCGAACAAAGATTCGTTTTCAGTGAATTTAATAGACTCGGTGTTCTGTGATCGTTGATGTGAATCGGTGGTAAGGATTTAACGCTAGAACTGTCCAACAATGGAATTGGCTTTTCCTACATTTTCTATAGAAACTATAAATGTGTGTCTATTAAGATTTCGACTAACTTGTAATACAGTTTGCGTATTGCGAAAACAATGTCTCCGTGAATTTCTCAGAGAAATATCTATCTTTTCAATACTTTTAAAAGAAGAAATCAGGTATTGCTCGTTTTTACCACTTTAGTAGTTCTAATGTTAACATAACGCAAAAAAGGTGTTTTCCTTCGAAGTTTCATTTTCAACAAGAAATTTACTTCGAAAATTTATCGAGCATTCAACATCAGATTTAGATAATCAATGTTTTTTTTTAATGGAAAAAATAAAAAACTTCAAATTGAGATATCCATCGTTAAACTCGATGTATGGGAGGTAGGATCTCTCGAGACAGGTGCAACCGTGGCTAGAAAAAAGTAAGAGAGAAAGAGAGGAAAGAAAGGAATAACCCGAACGAAGAGAAAAGGGAGGATTTTTTCCGTTAGGGGGTTGGTTCGTTCATGCCCGGCGCCCGTAAGTTGCAAATGGGGAAAGTTACTCGAAAGTGAGATCGGCGAGTTCCGTGTAAGTAACTGGCGCCCGTGTATTTTCGAGGCGTGCCTTCGAAATTAACTCTTTCGCAATCGGAAAGTTTTTCTCCCCGGGCGCGTCGAATTTTCGTACCGACCGCCTTCAACGGCGAAAACTCTGCCGGTTGTTCTCCAGCCCGTTTAACGTCGCGCTCTTCCCCTCTGCCTCGTGTTCCCGAAGAATAATTGATTCCGGCGAAGAAACAAAAGCGTCCCGAGCAGTTTGCCAGCAACGCTCGAACACTGGAAACGGTTCACCGTTGCGGATTCAACTTCTCGAATCTTTTGATGTTCACTTCCTCTATGTTCATTTCGTCTGCAGCTTTTTATATACCCTCCTATCCCATTCCAGGTGACCAGTAATATTTAATAATTATCAAAAATGGGGTTAATAACGTATTAACCTCCCGTCTGACGATTTCTTCCGCAACTCGCTGGAACGACTCTGTCTATAATAATCCATTTGAAAAAACGTCCGCAATTTATTTATAAATACCATGAAACTAAGTTTCGAACGAAATTTCTCAAAATCTCGGTTCAAAGTAGACTCAGTCGGCAAGTTGATAGACCTTAACACGTTGAGCGCCGGCGACTTAAGAGACATTTAAAGCCTGAGCACCGGCAACGTATCGGTCACTTAGCCCAAACGTATCTTAAATATTATACATTTTCGTAAAATAGTACATTTTAATTGCATATTCGTCATATCCAGAAATGAAAATCCAGAAATCCGCATTATTGCGGGGCCGGCGCTCAATGTGTTAATGCAACATTCGATAAATTTTTCTTGTGCTTCTAAGAAAACGGAGGGTATGCTCTACGAAGGCAAATCGGAGCGTCTTCTCTTTGATAGTAATGAAATGAAAGTACTGAAACGTTAATAATGAAAACCAGACAAGAATGTTTAAAACTTTCTTTTGCAAATTAGGAATAAGAAACAAGTAACATAATTTGTAGTGTGGCAAAAGCGAATTCCTATTTCGGTGTGATTCACCTCGGTCTAACGTATGGAAAACGATTATCCTCTTCCACTCCTTCCTCTTCTTCTTCTTGTGTCTTTGTTTCTTTCTCTTTTGTCAACGATTTTTTCTATGGTCACGAAACAAGAAAAAGATCAAGTAGGACGCTATCGGTGTCGAAAGCGACGGCCCCATCTTTTCTCTCGCGTTACGACGATTACCCCGGTCCGAAAGATTCAGCCCCGATCTATTTCCTAAATACGTTCCGCTCCCAACGGAAAATGGATTCGTTCGGGCCTCCGTAGCGTCTCGCCGCTTCCGCGACGTTTATTGCACGCTCGAATCATCCGTTTGACCCACATACGTCCGGCGACGTTCGCCGTCGCGTTTACGAATCCGATAACGAGCGAGTCGGAATTGATAAACGAGAGAGCCGTGTTCTCTTCCCCCGTGCGACGCGTTTTTCCATCTTCCAGCGGTGCTCGCCTCGTTTTTCGCGGAGATTGAAAAGTTGGAACACGGAACAGCGACTTTGAACTCGGTTATCATCGGGTTCCGGGCTCGCGTCGGAAAGGTCGATGTCAATAAATACATGCCACCGACGGGACCCGTGTGTTTATTATAATTGTTAATAAAGTTGTAAATAACGTCCGAACTGCGCCATGTTTGACGCGTTACAAGTTTTGCAGCAAAAATTTTATATGTTTTATGTGATTGTTTATTCTTTCATGATAAAGACAAACAGTAGAAGTAATTGTTAATCATTTGGTGTCACAGTCTTTACATTACACTAATATCTAAACTAATAATAATAATTCTTTGGAAGCAATTTTCTTCTATTTCGAAGCAAACTTTTATCAATCCAAAATATTTCTTTTCTCTTTCGTTGTTTAACGTCGCATCGATTTCTCAGTTATTAGCGACAATAATCTAAAATATGTTTTCCTCTATTATCCATAGTTTTCAGATCAAAGAAGGTTTCGTTTACTTTAAGCTGGAAAAGTAACGGAACCATAGGAAAACCGGATTATTTACGACACGACCTAATAATTATTGAAAGTATTCAGTTCTACCGAATTATTCGCGAAATTTCTTCAATTTCCATAGTGAGCGCAGCTTCCGGAACAAACTGAATCAGATAGGTCAAAAACAGATCGCCGAACCCAAAAGGGCCGTAACTACGATCGATGCTCCGATCTCGTCGAATCCGCGCGAAATGGGTAGAGCTTAGCGAAAGCTAATTAAGCGGCGAACTTCCGGGGAACTTGGCTATTAAGTATTTCACCGGACTACGGCTACAAGAAATGTTTTCCTCTTTTTCGGTCGTCGATATTACGGGTCAGCTTTATCGGAACGGTTTCCCCGAACTTTTCTCTCGGAATCGAAGATCCCGCTGGCTGGCTGCTGCTCGCCGGAAGCGATTCTCCGTCTCATCCTTCTTCCTCTCCGCGTGTATATCTTCTAGCGAACTCTCGTCGACTCGTCTAGTTTCTAGGACCCTTAGAAGCAAACTCTCGAAGCTTACTTCCGTCTTTGTCACGATTCCTCGCGCTGTGCTTTTCGCGACATCGTCCTTGCCTTCGCCTTTGCCTTCGCCGCAGCTAAATTTTCATACGTTAACCATCTACCAACCATCGCTGAGTCAAATATGACCGATTTCAAAAAATTAAACTATTTATGCATTCAACTTAATTTATTTAGTAATTTAAATAAATTGACAAATAAATTGATTTAAACTTACAACTATCCACTTTCACGTTGCCTCGCAAACGAGCAGCCAGCAACGTTCGTCGAAGTGATTATTCAAATAACGACGATCCGAAGCGATCCGTCCCACAATGAACGCAATTAGAATCCAGTTTATATTCCCGGGGTCGTCATAACGTAATTTAACGGAGGAACTCTATGAAAATAGCGAAGAAAGCTACAGCAAAGTCACTAACGAAGATGAGTGCAAACGAAAGGTGTATTAGTGGTCCCTTGAATCGGGTTAAGAGGTTAAAGGACGCTGGTCGAAAGGATTCGTCGAATACTCTTCGAATTTCCGGGGTAGTTCGGGGAAATCGAAAAACGCGGAGCTTCGACCATCGAAGGGGTTGCTCGAAGTTGTCGGTGCCTCGCGTCCAGGCTCGGCAAACGCGATGGAAATCTCGAAACACGGCCGTCGACGCATTTATTTGTGTTTAATCGACCGCTCGCCGATTTACCGTTTTGCACTGCTTTTCCAGGGGCTTGAAGCGACATTGAGTGACAGCAAAAAGAAGTACGGCGACAAGGTGAATGCACTTCTGTCCGCCTGGGAGCATGTCACCAATTTCATTCCTGGGGCAACGCCAGAGGCCACCCAGTCTCTCATAGAATGGGCTCACAAGTGAGTACTAGCGTCGATCGGCGTTTCTCTCCCCGTATCATCGAACAACCAACGCAATTATCCTCCTGTCCCAGGCTTTTCTGCTCTCCTCTCGCGTCTGTCCTGTTTGATTCCTACGCGCGTTCGATTAACGACGCAACGTTTCCTTTTCGGCCGCCTCTTCGACGAAGACCGTGCTCGTCAACTACGCGAAACGCAGTAGGAACAGTAATAATTGAATCGTTCGTTCGCCGAATCAATCGAATGAATCGTCGCGAAATGGAAATTATGTAGACGAGTTTGACAAAATTGTGTACATAAAGGAGCTATCGAATTTTGGGACCTTTCGCACTTGAACATTTGTTCGGTACATCTGGTGATTACATGGAATATCGATGAAATTGACGATTCTGTTGGATAATAAGAGAATTAACGGATAGAACTGTTTTATTTCAATATTTCATGTATATTATATACAACATCGCATTAAAGATTGAATTTTATAATCTTGCTATGCCAAACCAAACGGTGAATTTGACTTTCGAGTGCGAAAGGCTAAGATCTGAAAGCATTTGAAGCATAGAGTTTGTCACTTTCATCTTTGAAGGACTCGATTAGAGCTAGATTAAATCTTCACGTTAATTTCCAATTTTCCTGGATCATTTTGTATGAACTAGGATAATAAAGAAATACTTATTGCCATCTAGAAGATTCCTTTTAGTAAAAGTATTATTTCATATCGCGATAACTCGTAATTGCTGCGAATGCCAAATGAATGACTGTCGTAAGGTCCGCAATCTAGAGTTTAAACCAGTTTCTTTTGGTTCAAGGCTCGACATAGTTTCGATAGGAGCATTAAGTGCGATATTAATGCCGAGAGATCGTTCCTTGGAAAGTAACGTGCCCCTTGTTTGGACGTATCAGGGTTAATCGGTTAACTGGTTAACAGGTTCGCTGTTATCCGAACGATGCGAAATATGTGTAACGTCGGATCGATCTGTTCTAGACACACATTGAAATTGGTTCTGCGCGGGGAGTGGCCGAAGTTGTCACCCGCGACAAAGACGCACCTCAGCGTAACCTTACAGAGGTGCGCGTCTCACCTGGTGCAACACCCCGCTGCACCCAGGTGCACTGCCCTGATAGCTCTGGTGCACAATCCATGGACTCATCCCGCACTCGACAGTATACTTAACGGCCAACCGGATTCCGAACATGAAGAGGGTACGGTATACTTAGTACGAAGACTATCGATGTTCACGTGATTCACGTTTTTCACGAAACGGTTCATTGAAACTGGCAACAATACGAAAAACTGTGCACAATACTGCAAACATGTTTTTCACGAAACGATTCATAGAAATCGAGAACAATAGGAAACATTCTGCAAATATATTTTGCACGAAACAGTTTATAGAAACTGAGAACAATATAAAAATTGTGGATTACACTGCAAACATGTGTTTCGCGAAACGGTTCATAGAAACTGAGAGCAATTAAAATAATTGCGGATAATACGGCGACCATGTTGCAAGTAACATTTGTAAACAAATTTTCATTGATTAACGCCTCGATTTTGTCATCTGTCAATTGCTTTTCCGTACTAAATTACTTTTTATCGTGGATTTTTAATTTAACGGGGACTTAATTCGCAGCCTCTTTCATATTCTGAACTAAGTTTCGTAGAAATGTTGTCATGTACTTTTGATTCACTCTTGCATAAGGAATTACCTTTAGCCCACCTGGACCATATTTTCGGCGATTTCAACATTCCACGTGATGATGCTTTATATAAAGTTAATATTGCTATATCGAATCAAGTGGTAACTGAAAGTCACCTCTCGAGCGCGAAGAGCTAATCGTGAAACCCTTCGAGCTTGATTTAACAGAGAGATCAGCAACCTGCCGTTGGAACGAAATTTTTAATGGAGATTTTTGTTCTCTCATAGAATTCTGCTGTTCGGAGAAAGGCGAACTGTTAACGATGAGGCTGAAAATACTTTGCGAGGACCGCTGCGAGGACATAGCGGTGAACCTCGCCGCCGCTTGCGTACGTTCCCTGCGGCGGAGCGATCGGCTGCGCTCGCTCTCGGATTCTCATCACGTTCATTACATGATCGACGTCTATATTGTCCTGTTGTATAAATTGAAACGCACGCAAGATATATTCGCTCAAGTGAGTATCGTTTTGGGGAGGGGAGGGACCGAGGGACTGACTTGAGAATTTGCCACCCCCGACTTCTCACCCTCCGACAGCGATCGATTTATCTGTTATTTAGTTCGGGCAACCAGTCGAAACTGGGTGGAACATCGAGGAAAAAATACTGTATATTTTACTATAGTTTTATGCTTCGGATGGAACGATATTTTTAACGGGGGATGAAATTTCCAGCTTGTATTTTAAATATGTATACGCTGGAAATATTCCTTTGAGATCGAAATGCACGGTCCAGCAGAATTGGACGAAAGTATTTTTAAATAAAATGAAAAATATTTTTGAATAAAACGCACGATTTAACATGAAACAGATTATTTATCGGGAATATTTAACGTCTAACTCGTGGAGTAATATATGCGAAATAAAGCCAAATAGTTCGTCCATGGCGCTCGGCAGTCTCTTCATCGATGCTTCCACTTCTTTCTTTTATCATTTTCGCCGCGTCCTTTTATGCACACGATAAAGAAAGCCGTCTTCTTTTCAGTTAAAATTAATGGATCTCAGCGACGGTCTGGAATTGGTCCAAAGGCTCAGCGGTGAAAGACCGACAAAATATGGAACCGCGCGAGTTTGGAGGAATTCGATAAAGGCTGCTGAATTGGTTGCACAATATCTCGTTACCGCGGGCATGGTCCGACCCGTGCCGGAGACGGGCGCGAACATCCTCGAGCAGATCCTGAACTCCTGGGCCTCGCTGCACTCGAAATTGAAGGACGTTGCCCCCACGTTGCCAGGAATGATACGGAAATTGATAGAACCGGCCGAGAGTGCTCAGCATATTTATATCTTCTGCGCGGTGCTCACGAAACACGTGAGTTGCCAGATTAACGATGTTACGCTGTTGTTCATAAGTAACTGGACACTTACGTTTTCTGCATAGATCGAAACTTTCTGATCAAACAGGGTCTACAGTTTAGTACTTGCACAGGACGAAGTGACTAACTCTGCTCCACGAACGGTTTCAAACGTTACCGCTAACACTTAGTTCTTTGATTAAACTTTGCTACCTCTGTTCTGTGGAGTTAATCACTTCGGCGAATGAATAGATAAGTGAACGTTATCGAATTCGTTTCCTTTCACGGTTCCAGTTCGGCGACAGCATAAAGCCTCTGGTAATCGAGCTGTATATCAGGGCGTTGACGACGGACATGAATGAGCTGGAGAGTCAGAAGGCGAAGTCTGACAAAGAGAAGGTTCGAGAGACGGCGAAACGACTGAGCACGCAGTTCCTTAAGTTAGCCGACGTGGTTGGCAGCAACATCGGTATCGCTCGCGAATGTGTGTTAACCGCGTTCTCGTTGCATCCGACCAGGTCCTGCTACGACAGGATCAAGGAAATCGCCGTGGCCTGTGGCAAGACAAGGGAAGACAGCTCGGCATCCGGTGACGGCGACAAGCTCAAGTACGCGTTGGAGAGCAATCACGCGAACGGCGCGTTGACGAAATCGGAGAATGACAGGGATGAGCCGAAGAATGATGGGGACAAAAGCGACGAGATCGCGGAAACAACGACATGCCTGCGTGACACCTCATTGGTCCCGGCACCGTCGTTGCCAGACTCAACGACGCTTGCAGCAAAAAAGAGCATCGACTTCCAGAACGGACAGGTCAGCAAGAGCTTCGAGCGTACCGATCAGCTGCTGAAGAGCCTCCTGACGACCACGAAGAAGATAGAACCCGCGGTGCCGACGAACGACAGGTGCCCTCTGCATCCAAAGAGGGATCCTCTGTCTGGTGCGCCACTCGGGGAGCTTTGCTTCAACTGTGGCGAGTTCACTGGCAACGACATCTCCACTGGCAAGCCCGCCGAGACGAGCGAGCCAGCATCCAGGAACGTGGAAAGGACCCTCGACGCACTGATACTGATCAAAGGCGACGCGGTTACGGGCTCGGCAAACTACGACGAGAAATCTGTGCCCAATCAAGTCCTCGATGGTGAGAAACTGGGCCTGTCGCCGCAGCTGTGCGACGACCTGGCCGTAGTATTGAGCAGCCCCCGCTACCACATGCTCAGCTGGGTCCTCGATTGGAAGGAGTTGAACAGTCTTTGCGAGAGGTACCTAGAAAATGCCGAGGAGATGAGGAACACGAACAAGGAGTTGAAGTATCTAAACATCGACTACTCGCAATTTAAAGACTGGCCCTCGGAGGACGAGACCAAGGACATATTCTTCGGAATCGAGAAGGGGTACGAGCAGTGGGTTGACCTGCCGTCGGACAACTCGGAACAGTTCGGCAGCTTTCAGCCCGCGGGCACGTATAAGCGATCCTCGACGAGAAGAAGTTTAGACGACACCACTACCACAGACTCGGACAGCGGGAGCATACTGCGCGTGAGGAGGACTGGCAGGCCGAGAAAGATCCACCGGCTGGAGTCGTCCGAGAGCGACTACGACAGCGCGGACCGAAAGTTGAAGCACTTTAGGAACAGCTCAGTATCCGACAGCGATAGCAACACTCAAGACAGTCAAACAGACAGCCTAGGCAGCGACGTGTGTCGACCGGAGACGAAGAAGAAGACCAATAAATCGGTAGGTAAAGAGGCAAGCAAGAAACGTTCCAAGTCGTCGAAGCTGACTGTCGAGTCCGTCTCACACTTCCACATGCTGGTGAACGAGAACGTGCGGCACGCGAACGCGAACGAGGATGCGAGCGGCTCCGACGTAAGCAGCAACGACATCATTACGCTGTTTTCCGCGGACATGGACGAAAACAAACGAGAAACAATCAAGGGATCCGCGTATACAGCTGCTGCGCCATTGATCATCACCGAGAGGAGGAGCGATCCGGCTGTGCTCAAGTCCTTGAGGATGTTCAGGCCTCAGAACACGAAGAAACCGACCAGGATCTCACAGATACTGCAGAAAAACTTATTGAATAAGAGCAAAGACAATAACAACTTAGAGAACAACGCGACCAGTGTAACCAAGTTTGCCCCGATGCTCAGCACGCTGAACCTGAACCCGAAAATTGTATTAACGAGGACGGATGAGATCGACAGGCGGTTGATCCGCGCAAAGAAACAACAACGACTGAGCAGCGGTGACATCACCAGTGAACTGATGAACATCCAGAAGAACATGCCGTTCTCGCCGAACAAGAACGCGATATCTACTTATCAGAAACAGAAAGGAAATACGGGAACGAATACGACCAAGTCCGATCTGACGTCCGCGGAGGGTCGTGACTTGAATTCGAAATCAAATTTAGGAAAAAGAAAGTTCGATATTCTGGCGAAGGCGGTCAGAGATTCGGATATACTAGCGAAGAACGTGCCAGGCTTGAACTCGCTGGACATGATGGTACCACCGCGGATGCGGCCCACTGTCAACGTGGTGCAGCTCTCTCGAAACATTCCACAGAGCCCGAACTCGGGCTCAGTTAACAGCGGCAACACTCCGCCACGGCCGAATAGAACCCCCAGCGTAGCGGGAACCATTCAATTGCCGGGCACGCCATCCTCCGGCGGACATGACAGCGGTGTAGGTATGAGTCCAGCAGGACAAACTCCTCCGCCTAGATCTTCGACGCTTCCCGACGTCGGTGAAGAGGCGAATCAACCACCCGATGGGTCGCCGACATCGTCGACCACTACAAACGTTTCCAGCCAACTCGAATCGGACTCCAGTCCTAGAACAGTGCCGATTCGTCGGAACCAACAGAATCAGTCCTCGCCAAAGAAGTCCCCGTCGCCGTGTTCTGCGGTGACGACAACCACGACCACGACTACGACCACATCTGCCATCGGCTCGGCGACCGAACAGCTGCAGATCGTCTGCAAGCCGGATGGCACCTATCAGTTAGCTTCCGTTAATCCAAACCTCGTCTCCAATCAGAGGAACGTTCTCAATCTTCAGAGCATAGATGACAATAGTGGTAACAGCGGTGGCAGCGTCGGTGGATTCTCGCGACAGAATCAGCATGCGGAGAACGTGAACGCGAACAGAAACACCTACGAGAGGTTGACCGGCGCGGCGAAAACGAACTCGCAATCGGGACAGAACGCTGGCCTGCCGAAGTTCCAGCAAGCCTTCCGTAAGACCATCTACACCCTGGCGACGGACGCAACAACGGGCGGCGTAGCCGGACCCACGTCCGAGACGCTGGTCCAGGCTGCGTCACCACAGAAGACCGCGAACCTCTCAAAGGCGGTACAGACGTCCGTGCCAAGTGCGCAACAGCCGAACTCTGCGTCGGGAATTAACGTGCAGTCGATCGCGAACATACCGAATGCACTGCAGTTATCTACCGGCAGGCAGATACTGAACATCGTACAGAGTTCGGGTAACAACGCGAACGTCGCGACTAGTCCGAACGCCAATCAAACGCTGACTCAGCTCGTGCAGAACGTGCAGAACGCCTCGCCGGGCGTAATATACACGCACAAGATCCCCGTTACAATATCCACTACAAATCCAAGCCAACTGAACATCATTCCTACGATATCGCATGCGAACTCGATACCAGCTGGCAGAACGCCGGTAGTCAAGCTGAACATCATCCGAACAACCACGCCGCTCAGGCAACAGAACATCACTGGCGCTATCCAAGCAGTTCTGACCACGCCCAGGTTGCAACAGCAACAGCAACAGCAGCAGCAACCACAACAACAACCGCAGCAGCAGCCGCCGCCTGCGGTCAGAACAGATAGTTTGATTGGTTCACCCATAGAAGTGCCGAATCAGGTCAGCTCGACTACCCTAGAACAGTTGAGAGAGTTCGAGAGCGTCCTGGAACAAGTGAAAGAGAGGAGCACGATCCAGCCTCAGTCTCATCAGATGATATCCGCCGCCGCTACGACCACCGTGCAGACACAAACTACCACGCAACAGACACAAGCGGCCAAGCCTCAGCAACAACAACCAGCGCAACAGACGCAACAACCGCAGCAGCAACAGCAACAACAACAACAGCAGCAGCAGCAGCAGCAGCCGCCGCAGCAGCAACCACAACAACAGCAGCAACAGGTTTCCGTGAGCGCTCTGGCGCAACAGCTTCTGATGCCTACGCAACAGGCTACCAACAACGATTTCACGAGCAACGGGAACACCGTCAACTTCCAGCAAGACATCTTCTCGCAAAAGGTCTCGTTGGCGTATGTAAATCAGAGTACGGGAACCGCAGCCGCGAAAACGCCGAACTCAACGCCGGTAGTCGTGGTGACGAGTTACTGTCAGCCAGCAGCTTCGCCCGCTTTGAGCGTTACCTCGCAGAGTTCTTCGAGTCCCTGCGTGACACCGGCTCCTGCGCCCATACCATCCGCCGGGAAGACACCGCCCACACCGCCCTCAGCGAAAACGGTGAAGAAATCCGCACCAAAGACCCTGAAGACCAGTGGGACGAACACATCGAAGGCTTCGCCGATCCCCAAGCCGCAACAAAAGCCGCAAGAGGATGAGCAGACCGCACAGAGGATCTACGCGATATTGGACGAGTACGCGGAACAGTTGCGCAACTCGCCGGACCTGAATAACAAACCGGCACCCAGGAGAAGATCGAATCCGCCGACAAACCCCAGCCAATCCTCCAAACGGAAGAAGTCCAGCGCGAACAAGACGAAGCCGGTCGGCCAACAGAACTCCGAGCTGAGTCCGAGCACCGACGATCTCGGCAGAACCATGGGCAGTGAGGATTCATCCAGCGGCGTGGTTCACGTGCAGGACAGCCCGGCTGGGTTCTCCGCTCCTGAAGAACCTAGCGGCAACGTGTCAAGCGTCAGCGACGCGAATGCCGAGGTCCGCAGTTTGACCAACGACTCGAGCGATGGCGTTGAGCTGAACGTGAAGAGGCGAAACCTGATCTTCGCCGAGCCAGGGTCTGGCCAGCCCAGGGCGGTGATCGTCCAGGAAGCCGTCCAGACCGGTTCGGTTAGCGTCAGTGAAGCTCTGGCTTCGGTCACTGGTAAGATGGGCAGCACGGCCGTCCTGGTTCCGGGCACTAATTACATCCTGCCAATGAATCTGATGAAGGGCGGTCAACAATTCACGATAGTATCCAGTGGGTCGAAACTTCTTGCTACAGTACCAGCGACTGTTCGGACCACTGGTAATACCGGTGTCTCGAACACACTGCTGCTTCAGTCGTTTCTAAACCAAGCAGGGAAGATCATCTCCCAGCCGGCGCAGGTTAAGCAGGTCAAGATTCCAACGCTGCAGACTTTGTCCGGTAATCAGACTTTGACCACCGCTCAGAACGTTCAAGCAGCTTCGGTGGTTATCCCTCAAACAGCTAGCACCGGTAGCTCATTCGTTGGAGAGACAGCCACAGAGAAGAGCAACATCATCGGCGATCTGGCCATTGGGAAAAGCGAGAACACTGGTGTCGCGGCTACCAGCGTTGCCGTTGAGTCCGCTGCGAACGCAATCGTTGTGAACAAGAGCAACTCGGCAATTGGGCTGATCCAACGGAACTTGAATGAGGCATCGGAGAATCAGCAGATATGCGGTGTGATCACGAGCAACCCGAATCTGACTCTTCAGAGTGCCAGGCTCTTCAATTCTTCGATACATAAGCTGTCGACCACCACCGGATTGAAGTCGGACAATGTGGTGTGCCTGACGCCGACTGCTTCGACGATCACGCACACGCCCGAGAAGAAACCGCCCCAAGAGACCCAGGTGCACAACGAAAAAGCGGTGTCAATTCAACCAGGAGCTACCATCGCTCTCGCGTTTGCAAGTCAGTCGGACGTTTCCATGCTGAATGACGCCCAGCAGCATCAACAACACCAGCATCAGCAACAACAAAAAGACATGAAAGAGGTGTCGGCGGATATCATTTCTGGTGGCAAGATCATTTCACCGAAGACAGTCAAGAGAAAAATCGACGACGCTATGGGTATGTCGATCACATAATTTGGTACTTTTCTTTTTGGTCTAATTCGTTCGATAAAAATTTTACTGCTTTACTAGAATTTTGCTAAATACTTACTTGCTAAGCATTAATGTTTTGTATTACCAATTGATTCGACACGGTAAAGTAGTCGTATGGTTAGTTGCACAGTCTCGTTGCATAACGGTCAAAGTACTGTTTGTTAAGAGTCAACGATGACGCGTATGTTTTGCAGATTCCATGTCCACGATCGTGACAACCAAACAGTCGGGAGGCATCGACAACACGACGCAATTTTTGGTGACCGGTGGGCCGAGCAGCTCCGACAGCCAAGAGTCACCTGTGCAGCAGTCCAGCGAGGGTATCGACGTGTCCTGCAAAGTTGGGAACGGTCTACTGTACGGGAACGCGAGGCTGCAGGAGGCTTGGGAGCCGGAGGGCAAGGTGTCGCCGGATACCTGTCCGTGGCGATACGTGCCCACCTCGACCAATTCTTTGAACATCGAGCCCCTGAACTCCAGATACACCGACAACACGGAGAACGTGCAGAGCGTGCTGCAGATCATCAACAAGGGCCAGGGTATCGAGATGGCAGGCGGTCAGATCTATCAGACCAACACGAAAAAGTATTTCATGAATCACACCTTGGAACCGTTCCAACAGTACTCGAACAAAAGTAACGCGATGAAAACACCGTTGAACCCGAGACTGGACCGCGAACTGTTACAGCAGAAAATGGAGAGGAAAGCGGCGGCGATAGAGCGCGAGATGAGGTTACAGAAGAGCCTGTCGGAGGAGTGTGAGGACCTAGGTGTGGACGAGCCGAGCACCAGCGACCTGTTCCCCGAAGCTGACCTACTCTTCGACACGAACCACTCGCCGTCGTTCGATCACTCGTCCCAGGACGCGTCTTGCAGCCAACCGCTCGGCATGAAGTCGTATGGCGGCTCTTACTTCCGTTCCCTGGACTCGTCGAGCGGCAGCAGGGATGCCAGCCCCGTCGCCGACTTCAAGGCGAACGAGCGTAGAAGGAACACCGGTCAGCGAACGAGATCCTCGAAGGACTCCTCGAAGAGGTTGAAGAGGGACAAGGCGGAGGATCTGCACTTGGAGAACCCCGCGAAGCACATGCGATTAACTTTGGACAACTCGAGCCAGGACGAGGCGTCGAACAGCAACTCGGACATCTCGAGGTTGTCGCCAACGCATCTCTGCTCGCTGGAGAACGACACGCTGAAGGTGCAAAGCCGAACGAAAATCGCGTCACGGAACGGCTCAAAGGAGGGCTCGCCAAGCAGCGTGTCCAGCATCCCGTCTAACATGAAGCTGGACATCGACTTGGACTCTGAATCGCTGCCTGCGACGATAAACGTGAACAACGCGTCCGCCGCGAGCTCGGGGGACGAGAGCCTGACGCTGCTCAGCGGGAACACCGCGGACGTGACGATACCGTCGCCGCTGTCACCAATCGCCGGTCCGATGCTCTCCACGCACAAATACACCTACACCAACAAGAAACGCATCGCGTCCAAGGTAACGAGGATGGACTACCTGTCCTGGGAGAGCCCGATGTCCGAGAGGACACGGTCGAGCAGTGACGAGGAAGACTCGAGCATCAGTGAATCGATCGGCAGCCAACCGGAGGAGAACGCGCTCAGCAACGGTCTCGATGACAGCGTTCAGAGCCTGAAGTCGTTGACCAGCGAACGGCGTTGCAGTTACTTAAAGAAAAAGGAGAAGTTGCAAGTGAACGCGAGGGTGGTGCTGAACCGTGCGGATCAGAAAGGTAGCAGCGGGGGTGGCGCTGGCGCCGGCGGGGGCGGTGGTGGCGGCGGTGGCGGGGGTATTTCGAAGCGCGTCAAGTCGACCGCCGAGTCGATCCAGGACTCTGTGATGGTCTCGAGTGACAAGGCGTCCGAGCCGTCGGACGATGAAGGCAGCAACATCGCACTGGTCGAGCCGGATTGTCGCGCAAGGAGGTCCAGCCTGCGCGGCCATGTCAAGAAGGGTTGCGCCTGTTGCAACGGATCCCCGGAACGGCCGAAGAAGAAGTCATCCGTCAAGTCGGAACATTCGAAGCTGAAGAAACGATTGTCCTCGAAACAGGCTGGGAAGAAAAGGTAGTCCTAGCGATGGAAGGCTCGCCGGAGTATCGCGTGCTCCGTCGTCATGGTACACTCATTCCTGCGACGCGCTGCTCGATCCAGCACTTGGCCGGAGAAGCTGGGATGGTGGAGCAGAAGGAGAAGAGGAAGAAGAAGAGGCAGAAGAAGAAGGAAGAGGAACTTTCGGTTGGTTTGAAACGCGGTCTCCGGGATCAGACGGTGGTTATACGACGCATCGACGGAACCGAATTCGGAGAGGAGTTTGCACGGCTCGGAGGACGATCCATTAAATCTAAACAAGCTTGTATATACGTAGCAGCGAGCGAGCGCGAGGGTTGTTAGCGAGAGAAACTTTTTTCTGATATCCATGTAACTCGGTATGCGTGTGTGCGTGTATGCGTGTATGCGCGTGTGCGTGTGCATGGATGTGGGAGTTTGTCGTGTGCCTGCCCCCGTGTAGGCAACAACTGTTACTCGCAAGACAAATTCTTCGTAAATATGAATTCACGCTAACAATTCGTTTCGTTGATGACAGGGTGTGCAAGTGAGAGAAAAGGTTCGAGACGGAAGTGGAGACGGAGTGAAAGAGAGAACGAGAAGCAACGAAGAGAAAGAAAAAGAGAGAGGGAGAGAGAGAGGGAGGGAGAGAGAGAAATGAGCGAAGGAAAGATACGACGGGAGAGAGGACGAGCGATTTCGTTGGCGGATCTCTGCGAGAATAGATCATCCTTTTACCGCTAGATGTTACTACGATACCTAGGTGTAAGGTGCAGATTATTAATGAATGGCAGACTTAGATTAAATCGTTAAGAATATTAGAGACGCAATCTAGTCAAGAGATAAGGTTTGTGGCGAGGAATAGGTGCGCTCGGGTGGGAGAGCGAGGGAGAGAGTGAATGGAAGCAAGCGTGGAAAGCGGCGCTAAGGGGAGCACGGCTGATCAAGAGATAACGATGCACGACGTGAAACGATTCAAATTAGAATGTGTGTCCGTGATTTGTTGATAGATCCCTCGCAGACTAAAGAGCCTGAATTTATAAATTTTCTCTAACTGTATCTATCGCGACGAATAACTATTCCACGTTCTTACACAGTGTGGTCAGACTGAGTAGACGAAATAGAGAGTCTTATAGATCTCGTTCGGTGAAGTAACGTAGTAAGACACGCATTGAACTTTTGCCTTTCCGCGTAACGCTTCTCGGTACACATAGAAAAAAGAGAAAATGAACCTTAACTTTATAAATTGCGACACGATCCTTGTAAATTTTAGCATCATACCTTGACGAACCAGGGCAGGGGGGAGGGGCTGAAGTTTGACGGGGTTT